GCGCCCCCCCGCCCGCGGGGGGGGGGGGGGGGTTTCGCAGCGTGTGGTGACGCACCAGTTGTTCATCTATCCATCTCAGCTTCACCACGAATCTGTCACGAAACTGCTCCTTGTTAACCTTGCCGCAAGCACGCACAGCCGTCTTGTACACGTACAATCTTGAAATGCACCGGCGGCCCGCCAAAAGCAGTCAAGCCCAGATACCAATTGGACTTCGTCGCTTCCCAGCTGCTGCGGACAGCCCTTCGAAACGAGAGATGGCGGCTGTTTACAGTCATGGCGCGCACCACGCGGTCTGATGTCGCGCGTCTCCAGGAACAGTGCAACGCCCAGAAAGTGCAGTCAACTAGCCGTTGTTCTTATATCCCAGCCTCTTTCCGCGGCCTCATATCCTTATTCCAGCCTCCATTCAATAACAGCCACGTGGTGAGTCACTAGCCGACGGTGTGGTGTGCTCTGCGGAGGGCATTGGCCAGCTTTTTTGCGCCCAGATAGCCACAAAAGTTGCGCCATCTCTGGCAATTGTGGGCAAGGCGGAACTGTTGCGAATCTGCCAAAAGTGGAGGACCTCCTACAGATGGACATCGTATTGCGGTATATATATATCGGTCGGTGTCTTATTACAGGAACAGCCAAGACAAACCAACAGTTCTTGTATACACAATGTGCCATGGCGTCTGTTTTAGCAACGAGTTAGTTTGGCAAGCTGGGAGCTCGCATAGAATCTATTGGATTCATGGCATTCTATCTCATGTCTTCGTGAGCCTATTTTCCTATCTTGCCGCGTTCGCCAACTGCCCAAATTTCTCAAGGACATCCTTGTCTACGTTCACAGCCCACTGTTCTTCAAACGCCGCCTCGCCACCAACCCGGGCTACTAGATCCTGCAGCCTGGCACTCACAAACGCGAATGCCGGCACCGAGTGGACGGGGTCTTTGGCCATAGTCTGTTGTTCTATTATCATCTTGGGGGTATCATATTCTGAGGGTTCCAACTCCCCCCATACAAGTGTATCATGACCGCCCAGCTCCCCTTCTTGGACTTCGATAATGACGTTTGTCCACATGTCGAAGTAGTCCTGGAGCTTGGACAATGTGAGCTCTTGCATGGGAGATGGAAGTTCAATCAGCCTCGTGAGGCCGAGGAGGTACAGCTTTTGGCGTTCTTGGTGGTCCATGCTGGAGAGGTGCGAAAACCACTCCGCAGAGAGCCAAGACCACACTTGTTCGAGGGGTCCGAACGCAGTGAGCATTTGTACAAACATGTTGGGTTCGGCCAGGGCAATCCGTGCTAACATGGCCAGGTAGTCTCCTTCTGTAATGGTGTTGAGCTTGGAAATCTTCCTGTTGGGACCGGTTGTTTGGTGTGCTTCCCATGCATCGTGGACATTCGTCATGATTTGGTTCATGAAGCCAGTTTCCAGCATGTCTTGTACAATGACTGAAATTCCGTTTGAACCACCAAGCTGGGTTGCTGCTCGGACAAGGTACTCGATACAAACCGTCCCCAGACGAACTTGCTCTCGGCTCTTAGAAGTGAGAGTGCCAGAGAGGGCGGCCAGAGTTGGCCGGCGGAGCTTGTCCTCCAATATTGCAGATGGCGCTATCAGGATGTACGACTCTACGGCCGTAAGTGCCTGGAATGCTGTGTCTGGTTGGTACTCCAATAAAGGAAGAGCCATTTCCGCAAGGCTGATGACTTCGGGTGCAAGGGGTGCTTTGCTTTGCATAAGAATTGCGTTCCACAGTTCAAGTGACTCGTCAATGAGATGGACATGAATGTCGGACCCTGGCCGTGCGGCTTCCGATAGCAGAGGAATCATAAAGTTCTGATAACGTTGTGAGGTGTCACCCATACTCATGACAAGAGCTGCAAAAATAGCAATGACTGCCTGCTTGATCATGTATTCTTCGGTACCAGAGTTCTCCCATACGCCTGGAAGCGCAGACATTAGCTGGTCGCCGAACTGTGAAACTTGCTCTTCCATTCGCGTTACCAAGATTCGAACGGATTCTAAAATGGCCAGCTTGGTCTCATCAACGTCCACGCTCTGGATGAGCTGGATGAGTTGAGAGAGGATGTCGGCAGTATATGGCAAGAATGCCTCCACGCTAAAGTCGAGCTCGTCTGCGATCCACCGCAGCTGTCTTGCTGCTGTGATTCGCACGACCAGATCATTCGTTTCGTCATTGGGATTCAAAAAGTGCTGAAAAATTTGATACACCAATGGTCTACTGGTATCTGCCAACTTAACTGGTGCCCATTGGCTAATTAGAATAGCGATGCGTCTCCGTAAGACTCTGTGCAAGCCACCTTGTTGCTGAGCATCGTTCACAATCGTTGACGACAGGACAGAGTCAAAATCGAATACGTTGACAACATGGGCAGCAGCTAAGCCCATTGCTGTGTACACAGCCTCTTTCGTAGCGATGTCGGCCTGTGATGATTGTGCAGATTGGAAATACGAAAGCAATGGTGGTATAATGAGTTGTTTGAAGTTTGTGAGCAAATCCAAAAAGAGCCTTTCTGCGCATGGCCGAACCTCCCACTCAAAGGCGTTGCCCTCACTTTGCTCCTGCTGTTCCCACTCTTCAGGGTCTTCCTCCCACGCCTCAAGATCTGAGCGTCGAAAGACAAATAGATGTGTAATGATGGAGTTAACCATCTGAATGACCAGATCGTCTTTCAGAAGCTCTGTTTTGATAAAATTTCTAGACTGTTCTTGCTCCTCCTTGGTCTCGGGAGTCCGGTATTTGAAGGTTTGCAAAGGTTGAAATGCGATTCTTACACAGGCACGGAGCAAAAGCAGACCTTTTAGCGCCAGCCGTTCTTGCAGAGGCCCCTCGATCTTAGCCTTGGATGAACCAGCATCCCCAGAACCTTGACGGATCCCGCCTGACGAGTCAAAGACTTCGGCGAACTTGGAAACCAAATTCCAGTACGCATGGACAAGATGAAGAGAGTTGGGTAAAATCGAGAAACTCGCTGCGTGTTGTTCGGCCATGTCTATATGCAATTTTGTAAACTGGAGAAGATGCTTGCCAACAAGGTCTTGGTAGGTGGGAGGTATGGTGGGTTCCTGGCCTACAAAGTTGAGAAACTGTCCAAATTGATTTTGAGAAACCGTCCAGAATTGTTCGACGGACTTGTCAGTGTGCGGCCTCTCATATCCTAGGATTATAAGCCTTCTGATAACTTTCAAAGACAAAAGACTATTATGCAGGGCAACATTGGCATCCTCCCCGGACCCTTGATTACTGGACAAGAACGATAACCAGAGTGTAGTCTTTTCGGTGTAAATCTCATTCAAGACGTAGACAATCTCGGGTGTGACAGATTGTAACGCTGTCTGTGATTTCCTCAACCGAGCCGTTCCCAGCTCTTTCACCACCCGAAGAAGAATTTGAAGAGTTCCGTATAGATGTTTCTGATTTCCATCCTTTCCGGACCGTAATAGGCCGATTATATGAGACAACGCATCGGGCCAGTGCGTTGGGTAGTCGATTCTCACAACTTTTGCCACAGCAAGGGCATTGTGCAGGGCCAGGTTTCGTTCTTCCTCGTCAATGGTTCCTTGAAAGAGTCGAGATCGGATCAAGGTCTTTTCGTGCGGTTTTATTCCATTTCTAACCTGAGCATATAGCCTCCAGTACTTATCGATTCCATTCTTGAGTTGGATAATGGCGAGGAAGCGCACATTGGTCGGGATCGACTTATCGAGGAACACGGTCTGCCGCTTGGTCAGCCCTCATTTGGCATGTGCGGGCGTAAATGTCTTCTTACCTGCAAAGACGAATAATAGCCCGGTGTCTGTTCCCAAGACGTAAGCTGTTGCCCGGCGGTCTGCCTTTGCGCAAAGTCGTTCGAAGTGGCAGCCTGCAACGCGTGGCACAGCGTTTCGAGGGACAGGGGATTCGCCTCGCCAGGAACCTCGATAGCAAAGCTCATGGTCGCTCTGCCTGGACTGTTCAACTAGCCACCTGCTACTCCCTATTTCAGGCTATGTACAGCCTTTTGAGCAGAAAGTATACTCTCGTTCTAGTCCCAATAAACGCCGTGGAGTTGGAGCATGAGAGCATGAATTTTGAACTTGGCCGACGGCTGCATGTCCACGGGCAGGTTTGGTGGGGTTCAAACAAAATGGAGGGGTCAACCTCAAGCGCTCTCAATCAACCTGGACTGAGCACTTGAACCGCTATCTAGAACCAGCGAGTCCAGCTCAGCCTCGCTGACCTGCAACCGTGCCTACAAGTACGAGACAACACGGCAGTTGGCCGTGGCTTGGTAGACTGACTTGCTCAAGGCGAATTCAAGTCTCGGATATGACCGTATATTATTTGAATGAACCTGCTGCACCTGGTCCGGCACCGGCGAATATTTACCACACACAGCCCATCGCTGCCACCATTGACTGCAAGGGGCGCAAAAAAACCTGGCAAAATAATTTGGAACTCAGAGCACATGAACCAACTTCCGTAACCATTCAAAATAGCTTTCGTGTCACATCTTCTGGAAATTTGCAATACACAAGCCAGTCTATGAAGTCTCAAGTTGACGCCAATCTCGTGCACTCTGTTCGCCAGTGGACCCCTGAAACAGCAGGAAATCTGTGGATGTCAGTGGATCCATTCCATATCCAGTAATGAGCTGAGAAAGTCCTGCCGTCTTCGCCTCTTAAACAAGGCCAGCTCGGACAAACTCCAAGGGCTTCAATCGTGAATCTCGACCCCCATCGACAGCCCACGCCGCCATGATACGCTCAGGGGCTACCAGACAAGCGGCCCTGGGCATATCACGCGCGCGATGGACTTGTCCCGCCTGTCTCTGTCGCCGGCAGTACTCTCAAAAGCCAGAGAAGCGCGAACCTCCCGACCATAGAAAAATAGGACTGCAACAGGAACTCTTCATCACCTCCGCGTACAGCCCCGGGTCCCCAATCTTCCTGCCAAACGGAGCCAGAATCTTCAATCGGCTAATCGACTTCATCCGCAAGCAGTACGCTCGCTATGGCTTCCAGGAAGTCATCACACCAACAATATACAAGAAAGCGCTCTGGGCCAAGTCGGGCCACTTAGAAAACTACGCCGACGACATGTATACCGTGACCGGAAACGCAAGCACGCCCGGCAAAGATACAGGCGGGTGCTGCGGAAGCGACCACGGCCCAGTCGAGCCTGATTCGGAAGCAGACAACGAGTACGGCCTGAAGCCCATGAACTGCCCAGGGCACTGTCTCATATTTGCCTCCAAAGTCCGCAGCTACCGCGAATTGCCAGTCCGGTATGCCGACTTTAGCCCTCTGCATAGAAATGAGGTCTCTGGTGCTCTATCGGGGTTGACCCGTGTACGACGATTCCACCAGGACGATGGCCACATTTTCTGCCGCCCTTCGCAAGTCGAAGAAGAGATCAAGAAGACGCTGGATTTTGTCAAGGCCGTATATGGCGTTCTCCGCCTGGGTGTTGGCTATAGACTTGCGCTGTCTACCCGACCAAAAGACCACTTCATCGGCACCGAAGACGAGTGGAACAGGGCCGAGGATCGCTTAAAGACGGCGCTGGACTCGTCGGGCATGGAGTGGAGCATCAACGAGGCGGATGGTGCATTCTACGGCCCCAAGATTGACATTGTCATCAAGGATTCAGACGGAAAAGAGCATCAGACGGCCACGATCCAGTTGGATTTTCAACTTCCGAAGCGTTTCGCGCTCGAGTACCAGGCGCCCGCGCCCGAGTACGAAGCACGGGGAGAGACGACGAATGATCCGATCTTGTTGGCGGAATACGGCCCCGTACGACCCGTCATGATTCATCGCGCGGTATTGGGCTCGGTGGAACGGCTCATGGCACTTCTAATCGAGTCATACGATGGAAAGTGGCCGTTTTGGCTCAACCCACGACAAGCCATCATTCTCACGGTCAATACGTCACGGCCCGTTCTGGACTGGGCAGATGAGGTCAAAGAGATCCTCCTCGGGCTGAGGAAGGAAGCAGGTCAAACGAGCACGGAAGGACCCGTGAACCCGACCGGCCTGGCAGTCGATGTCGATTATAGTGCTCGCTCTCTCGGCTCCAAGATCCGAGAGGCACGAACCAACGGCTACAGCCAGATCCTAGTTGTGGGCGAAGAGGACGTCAAGCATGGCCAAGTCAGTCTGGGGAAAGAGAGGATGAGCCCCATGGAGATGCGTGACAAGATGCGCAAATTGGCGGACGCGTTTGGATAGGGTAAAACATGTCTTGTATTTATACATTGTAAACTATAGCGTCAAGGATTCCACAATAGACTATCCATTGTAATCTCCAAGAATACCGTCCCAAAAAAAATGCTGTAGTTGTTACCTTCTGCTCATTCATCATAACAGTCACACATCTACCTCTTGAACTATATCCATGCCAAACATAGAAACGCCACCCCTGGCTCAGCGTAATACTGAACCGCCTCCCCCAAAACATCAGCAGTTCCATGTGGGACGGAAATGGCAACTAGAGATGGTTGTGGTATGATTTGCGATGACCCGCTAACGACCTCGGCTCAGGTATTGCTCAGAAGCTGGGGCTATACACTCTTTCTGTAAAATCGCACAGACACGCGAAGAACAGGGATATAGCTAGCACAAGTATTCTCAGCACAATGCTCGCCATCCGAGGCAATATTTTTTTGTAAAATGTGGTTTTCTCCTCCGGTGCCCACAAAGCAAAGGAAGTGTTTGTTATGGCAGGCCCATCGGCGCTTTTTTACGTTTGGGAGATTCCATCGTCACGCGCATACGCCGGATTCATCCCTTTGAGCGGCCATGAGTCTGTTCGTTCAACACCCTGGTTAACAGATGGTTAGATGGCAAACGGTGGTGGGAAAGAAGACAACAGGAGCATTGCAGCTTGGGAGCATTCGCTCGGCCAGTGGAGAGTAAATGGGAGAAACGGGGTTAGGGGTTAAAGGAGGAGCAAACTAACTTCTTGAGCTCGTCGTCTACATGACCGCCTGACTGCTCGATGCGCTCAATAAGTGCGCGACGTTCTTGCATTTGTTGGCGCATATATTCGACGGTGCGCTTCAGCACGAGGCCCTCGGACCGGCCCTGGCCTTCTAGACCAGGGACGAGTTCAGTCAGGCGGTCGAATCCTTCGCGAATGGCTTGTCTACGCTTTTGTTCTATCGAAGTAAGTCTGGTTAGTAGAAACAAATCAACAAAAAAAGGGTATCCGATTGACAAATCAAAATGAATGCATGCATGCAACACTGATTATACAGGATGTTGGATGTTGGGTTTTGGCGGGTGGAGAGAGGAGGTCAGGTGGCACCATACCTGAAGCAATGTGATTCTGCTTCTTCTCCTCCTCAGTCAGGCGAGGTTTCTCGTCGGCACCAGCGGCGGCATTCTCTCTGGACGATGTTGATGTATTATTCGGCGACGACATGGTCAGTTGGCGTGAGCGAGCGTGAGAGGGACGAGGATGACTGTAGCAACGGAATAGTCTGCTACGCGCCTGTTCAATTTGTTGCAGAAGGAGCCTAGAATAAAGGGAGCGACGAATAGACGGCAGTGGTGGGAATGGGAATCAAGTCGGCTATTTGGTTCTTCGCCAGATGCGGAACAGAAAGTAAGTTGGAACAAGCAGCGAACGACTTCATGTGAGACGGGCAACTGGGCTGGGGCATGGATGGGTTCGGTTAGTGGGGGAACATTGCAATACTACCAGGCCAGAGGCCTTGCGCAAGCCAGTTGGCGCCGGGTCGCTGGTGTCCCCATGCAAAATCACATGCACAATTTATGCATTGAGCACATGCATCATCTAGTCGCACGGCGTCTTGCCTGGAGGACGGAACGGGATATGGAGCAACAGACGACAGCGTACGAAGTACATAAGATGCCTACCCTAGGTACTCCGTACCTATTAGTGAGGGGACGGAACAAGGCACGGCTGATGTGGCAGGTATTTACATATTGGCGTATGAGGACCTAGGTAGGTAGATTGGCCTCGGAGCTTGATCCCTGCTGGTTTGACAAAAGGACATCTGGAAGCTACAGCTCATCGCCTGCGCCCGAGGAAGAGTAGAATTAACAGAGAGAAAGCATTTAAAAGAATGCAATGGAACGTGGGAGCCTTGGATTTGTCCGATCCGACCATCTTGCGTACGGATGATGCTGGGCATGGACATTGATTGACGCAGGGGGTAATTGCAAGGTACCCTTTGACACTTCGTACGCCATTACCTCGAGTCTTAAACAGACGGGAGTCAACTCATGTGCAGCTAGATCGATGTGCTACAGGCAATGCACCATGTATACTAATTTCTGCAGAAGCCTCGGTTTCATGCTTCCCTCATGATTCGATTTGATCTACTTTTGCTAATATTTCCCATATCACTCTATCTAGTGCCAACTAGCACGGCTAATCCTGGTATCATCATTTCCCTTTGTGCTCGCCACAGTCCGAGGTCATGAGCTACGCTCGTGAAATCGCATTGCTAGTTGCGGATGCTTCCGGGGGGGGGTCCGGTACGAATGACGATCACACAATTCTTTCTGCACCGCATCAATCATCCTCATCGGTGGCACCATCGTCAAACTCATCCGCATCCTGTTGAAACACGACCTTTTCGGCCATGGCCAAACATCGCCTGACGGGTAATCCTACCACGTTGTCCACACTGCCCTCAATCTTCTCAGCGAGTATCATACCGCCAATCCCTTGGATGGCATAGCCTCCAGCTTTGTCTGCCCCCTCGCGGGTTTTTACGTAGGCTTCAATAACGTCGTCTGGTAGGCCGTTCGCTTCGCTGAAGAAGTACACTTTTGTCTCTTCTGTGTGGGTGGTGATGCAGTAGCCGGGATGCTGTGCATCTTCCCGAGGTGCCAGCACCGTTACAGCCGTCAAGACACGATGCATCACTGTATCACGCATATGCTTCAGCATACGGATGTGTTCTGCCTCGCTCCGGGGCTTTTCTAATATGCGACCGTCTCGGGTGACGATGATGGTGTCGGCGGCAATTACGACGTCGGGGTCCGGTATCGACTTCAGGTGCGTCTTTAAACACGTGGTGTAGACATCGAGACATTTTCGGCGAGCTGTTTCAGCAACATATTCATAGGGTCCATAGACTGCTTTATCCACGTCCTCGGGCTTTGTGGAGGGTGTGATCTCCAAGTTGTTTAAGCCAATCTGTTTTCTAGGTAAGTTACTACACGTATATGGCAGCGCAGTTCTATTATATACCTGTTGGAGTAAGGCCTTGCGCCGAGGTGAAGCTGATGCGAGCACTACTCGCTTGGTGTTTAGGTGCTTGATGATGGGCAGATCGAGCGGCTGCACCGGTTTGCGAATCGGCCCAGCAGATCGAGGACCTGTATTGCGTTCTGCCGCCGCCTGCTCATAGCCGGGCGACGGTCCGTTGGGCATCTTGGAATCTGACATTGTGGTCGGTGACGATGTCGAAAGACCTTGGTTCTAAAAGTTAGCCGGCTTGCGACAATGAACTTTGAAACTCGCCGATGACACACTTTAGCGGGTGGTGGGGGATCGGTCCCACTTAGTTCTTCCCGTGGTGTAAGTAGAGGTTGCGCAAACCTGATGTACTGATCTCTATATATGCTGAGAGACTACCCAGTTTGCAGGTTCAATGTTGGATAGACGAATGACTTTTGGACTTTATTCAAGCCAGCCACAATAGCAGTCCGTCTGTGCCAAAGGAAACCTTGTTTAATGAGGGCCATGCACCTCGTTATTGGTAAGTATAAGCGCCACTGGAAATTGTAGTCGAGATCTGAACGGAAGAAATCTATTATTTGAATAGCAATCATTCAGCGAACAACTTTCCCAATAGATTACTCCTTACCATGTTTCACTGACAAAGAGTTTCTGTTCTGAAAGGGAATGTGTGAGAACCTTGAACGGATCTCTGCCTTATTGCCTTATTACCAAGGTTGGACTAGCGCATAGCTGCCTGGTACGTGCCTTTTTGTACCTTGAAATCGGAAAGCAACTGTAGAATGCTGGTCTCCCCCAAAACCTCGTCGTCCTGGCCATCGACAGATTCCAGATCCCAAGCTTCCTCCTAGCTGCTTAGATGTTAATACATCATTGGTAGTCTGCGAGACAAGCTTGCGACGACTAATTGCGCGGTATTCAATTTATCGTCTCGATCTGCAGCCTTCTGCGCAGCACATGTACCTCACGACAACGCGACATCAAAATCACGCGTCGAGTGCAATCTGGACCGTCTTCGCAAGCTCCAGTAACAGCTTGGCGAGGTGCTAGATACCAATTCGATTTGACAGCCTGAAAGAAGCAAATTGAATTTTGCTTAGGTGTGATGCCCCGACCGATGCGTCTGTGATTATCAACATGACGGACAGCAAGCGCAAGGCAAACGGCCATTCGGCCACAGAGACAGATGATCGATCCGCCAAACGTCGCAAGTTGGCAGTAAGTCAATGCTTGCTATTTGGGTCAAAGCTACGTGAATAGTGGTAAAGCGATTTGATGAGTTCGCTAACAGAATTTGATTCTAGGAGTTCGATCTCTCCAAGGGCGAATCCCGTGAATCAACTACAGCCTACGGCCTTGCCTTTCTCGAGCAAATACGTCGCACTGCTGACAAAAGGTAGGTGCAGTAATTCTGTTATGAAATGTCAATAGTTGACAAGCAAAACTAACTGGGACCCTCGCCCGATAGTGGACGGCTCGTTGCGACATATTTTGAGAACCTGCTTCCCCGGGAAGGAAATGCAGAATATTATAAGCGGACTCGGATGCCTATTTGTTTGACATCTATTGAAGAGAAACTCAACAAAGGAGATTTCAAGAACCTCGCGGAACTAGAAAGTTATTTCAAACGAATGATTGCAAACGCGAAAGAGTTTTACCCTCGCTCATCAGCCGTGTTCGAAGATGCTGAACGCGTTAGAAAAGCATTAAGTAATTACATGACCAAGACAAATCCAGCCTATCAAACGCGGACCTATCAGGCAGTACCAACTCCGCTGCCACCTGAAGATGGTGAAGAAGTAGAGGAAGAAGAGGAGGAAGGAGATGAAGATGCTGAAGGTGAAGAAGAGCCAGCCCAGGAGCAAGAAGACGAGGACGGCGAAGAAGAAGAGGAGGAGGGGGAGGAGGGTGAGGGGGATGATGAAGAACCAGCTTCCAGGCGCAGATCCATCATCTTAAAACGGTCCAGAGGCCGACCTTCGCGGAACTCGACATCACATACAAACAGTCCGCGTCGAGCCAGACCGGCTGGCCGTCCGGACCAAGAGTATAAGAATGTACCATTCAAGGGGTTGAACTTCCAGCAGGCACAAGAAAAGATTGTCGAGGAGCTACTGCGTTACAAGGAGCCAGAGTACGCACATTAAAGACGCAACCCAATCATCACGGAAAACTAATCAGGTATTAGGTACGAGGGATATTTTGAACCATTCGTCAATCTGCCACCCCGCGCCTTGAGAGATTACTATCGAGTCATTTCCGACCCTTTGTCACTAAAGAAGCTTCAGAAAGAAGTCTTGGGCATCCAAGGCCGTGGAGACCCCACAGGCATAAGCGACTTCAAGAGTTGGAATGCTCTAGCGGAGAGAGCTAAACTGCTGTGGAACAACGCATATTTCTATAATGAGGAGGGCAGCGAAATCTATGAACTGGCCCAAGAACTCGAAGTGGGTTTTTTTGGCCCTGCAAGCTGTAGTTTCGGAACTAACCTCGACTCTAGAAAGCATTCAACGAGCAACTGAAGAAGGCCAAGGCAGTGGTTCAGGAGCCTGCGCAGCCCAAGATCAAATTGAAGGTTGGACAATCCATCGATACCCCAAGTTCATCGAAAAAAATTACCATCCTTGTTGGTGGCCGAGGAAGTTCTGTTGACTCACCAACGCCACAGACAGCGCAGTCTATCGAACCCCCCGCTGGTGGCTCTCATGTCAATGGCATGGCACGACAGCCTGTGCTCGACGCAGCACGAAGTGCCTCGGCCTCAATGCCCTCGCCCAGCCCATCAACGCATGTTGGTCCCAAGGCAGAGGAAAGTGCGCGAGTGTCTCCCGCAGTGCTCGCTCAAACTCCTGCAGAAGCTCCTCCTGGACCGCCAACACCTGCCGTGGAAGCTCCACCACCGCCGCCGCCGCCGCCGCCTGGACCTCCGCAAATACAGTCCACGAATCCAATGGCAAATGGCTACGTAGAGCCGAAACGCCTCCGTGCCCCAGGAAAGGGTATGCTCAGATCGCCCATCACCAATTTAAATCAATGTGCTAATAAACTCGACCAGGTATCAAAGACGCACTCATTTCTAGACTTCGAATCCAGCTCTATCCCAACATGCAACCCGGTGACCCCGTCCTCCTCGATATCCTTCCTCTTCCCCATGAAATGCAACAATCCGGCACTGTCAACGTGCCCCCGAACATCAACCGCATCTTCATTGTGCCAATGCTCCCAGACCTCCTCCAAGACCGCCAGTACAGTCTCTGGGTTCTCATCGACAAACAGCCTCTCAAGCCATGCCCTCAGCCTATCCCTAACCAACTGCCCCAGGAGCACGCATTTGACGTTATGCTCCACCCAGGCGTTAACGTCATTGAGGCACACCTCATCGCTGCCATTCCTCGGCATGAGCGCGTCCCAGGGGGGCCAGAGGTTGAACTAGAAGTGTTTACAGCTTATGTTAATGTGTTGCGAAATTGAGCCATTTCAGACGTGGATGTGGAGTTACTTTTGGTAAAGGCTATGGGGAGTATGATCTTGGGTCACATTGGAGTTGCTGGTTCATGTTTTTAGGAAGGGATCTGGCTTTGGGTCTTGCAGCTTAAGCGACGGTAAACAGCATTCCTGGTCTTTATTTATGCGCAGTGTACGCATAAAATTGTAGTGTAAGGAATACAAATTTCTAATAATTCGGTGGTCCATGTATAGCAATGCACGATGTACAGAGATGCGTAGCTCCTGGCGTACTCATATGAAATGAACGGTCTATGGTATCACTTTGAAAAAAAAACGAATCCCCTTTCGCCAGCGCCAATCCCATGCTCGACTTTTGCCAGCCCACACCACCGACACTAATTTAGAAGATGGCCATTTGCCAGTTTCAACCTGCAGCTGGCCGCTGTTTCAGCTGTATCAAATGCTTCAGGCCTGTTTGAATAGCCATGTAGTTCTTCTGCTTGGGATCATACCACCCCAGGACATACACGGCCATGACGGCATTCTTCCCTTGCAATTCCACCAGACCATCTACACGGATGCATCCACGGCTCGGGGGCTGTTTCACAGGTTGCCAGTTTTTGGTGAACGTCATGGAGGCTGCGTGGAGAGCACCTTGGATACGAGGGTCGAGCTGGGTATTGTCGCTGCCGATAGAAGGTCCAAAAAGATCCCCGTTGGCCGTTGGGAAGGGGAAGTTTGGAGGCTTATCGGTAGTGCTGGGGACCTTGACGGCTTGCTTGCCCCCTGAGCCTAGTGCTCCTTGCTCCTTCATGCGGTTCATAGTAACGGTTTGCCACGATGTGTCTTGGGGCGGTTCTGTGTTGAATCCCAGGGCTTTGGCTACATCTTGAGCAGTTTGCCTGCAGAGAGAGTTGACAAATGTCCAAACAGTTAAGGCTACAGCTTTGGGATATATAGCCATGTTGACGTGGCTTGCGGCGACGGAGTCGATTGGTCTGTCACCCCAGAAGATGCCATCGTCATCGATGATGATCCTGCACGTCTATCAGTTGGGAGTTGGATTGATATGAATGCGCTAGACGCAACTTACCCAGATACGTAGTGTTTCGGCGGAGGTGCCGGGGGGTATATGATATCGAGCCATAGTTTTTTGAGTTTGATATCTTTTCCTCCCATTAACCTTACATAGCCCGGATTCTTTTCCACGCCACGACGGATGATTTCCGCGAGTCCAACTATTCATCAGGTTAGCCAGTGAGCGTGGCAAGTACACAGTTTCCACATACACTTGATGTCTTTTTGAACCTGTTGATCCTTGTTCACAGCCAAGAACGCAAGCCACTCGGGATCGGATCCTTTATATGGGGGTTGCTTCACTTCCTTGGTTGTAAATGGGAAGGGAAGAAACAGTAGAGGCTCGTCCTCTTCACCCGCCATCTCCTCCATTTCTCGCTTTTCCTTGTCAGACAGATTATCCCACTCGTGATCAGCCCAATCCAGAAGTGGACCAAAAACGACGGTCGCAAATATCTGCCAGCACACATATAATGTAATGGTAGTAAACATGACACGGCTGTCAGGATACGAGTCAGCGCAAATCTGGACGTATATGCAAAATCAGAGGCGACCTTACCCTAGTCGCTTTCGAAATGCATGTGATTTCGGTGCCGCGGGAGGTCGAGGAAAGTACACCGGTAAATCATGTGGGACTTTGCTCCCCTTGAAGGGCCATAGTGAGAGTGGTCGAGTCGATTGTGGCACCCGGCATACAATATTTGGTCTGATAATGAAGCTCGAAGCTGTTGAGGCGCGCCGAAAGGCGGCCGCCGCTCGGGGCAGCATGCCGCGATCGCTGCGATGCACAGAGAATAGGGTTTGTCTTGACGTAATGGGGATGGTGGGTAAGTATTCTCAGGAAGGGTTCGCTAATAGGAATGAAGAAGAACAACACCGCTCGATGAAATGAAACTGACGCAGGAGACGAAAGAGATGTGTGAAGCTGGTAGACATTCGCTGGTTCGGCCATCGGTGGTGGCATTGCATGGGTCCTTGGGTCCTGGACTCCTGGCTAGGCCAAGCCTCGCCAGTACCGGCGCCGCCTAATAAGTCCGGAGTTATCTGGCGCCGTGTTTCCGACACACGCATGGTGGCCGCTAGCTCGTACACACCTCCCTCGTCCGCATTGCGTGGAGCCCATCCCCGTCAAGCTGGTGACGTCTCAAGCTCTCCGGCTCGTCAACACGCAGCAGCTTCACGGATCAGAAAACCCATCATGAAGCTTACGGCCGGGCTCATTACCGCCTTCGCGGGGTACGTTGCTGCCGCACAGCAATCTGCCGAAGTGTTCATTGTGCCTACCGGCGATGCGTCGTCGCCTCCCGCGATCACCCCCAGTCTCGCTCGGCTACTACTTTTGCAACGACTTGCCCCTAGTGGTCGGGGCTTGTCCCTTCACGATATTCCGAATGGCGTCGGCACTGAACATGCAGTTTCTCTCATCAACCGCTTCGGAAAGGACATTCCTCCTTTGTTCTCAGACGGCCAAGCCACCGAACCCAGCCAGTTAGTCTTGATGCTGGAGAGCATGGATGACAAGCAGATGAAGGGCCTTCGAAAAGCACTCGGCATGAGTCCATCATTTACCATAGCAGACCCGCCTTCTGGCAAGGCGCACCGAGACCTAATGGAGCTGGACTTCTACAGGGCAGGTGTTGCTGATGGAAGCAAGTGTTCAATTCAACAGGTGGTTAACCCTCTGGAGAGTTGTTGGGCGGGCAAGCGTTCTGCTGCTGCCAAATTTAGTATCAAGGAGGTACGGATGAATACACAGCTTTCGAAAAGCTACCACTCGAAGGACTGCGAGTGCGAGATGCTAACCATGCTTTAGAATCCAGAACTACTCGACGAGGTGCCAAAACAAATCAAACAGCTTCTCCGACTTGCGAAGACGGGGGAACTTCAGACAACTATCGTTGCCCTTCCTTCAACCAAGAGCTCTAGCAATTGGCTAGATGAGCAGCAACAAGAGCTGCGCCGCCGTCAAGCGGAACAGGTCATTTCCTCCTTTGACAGGCCCGCAGTAAATGCTGAGCCAACCGCATCACCCAAGCCGGACCCCATCTTTGATCCAAGCGAGCGGATCAAAGCCTGTTACGAATCAAAGGAAGCGTGTATGGCCAGCACTCGCAACTGCTCTTCGCATGGTGAGTGTCAAGACAAGTACGCCAAAGCCGACGGATCCAAGAACACAGTCGCATGCTTTTCTTGCCATTGCCAAAGTACCCGGAGCAAGTCTGGAAGTCTGACGACCTGGGCCGGTCCCACATGTGCAAAGAAGGATGTCAGTGTTGCATTCTGGCTATTTGCTGGTTTCACTCTCGCCTTGGTCGGTATTCTCTATTTAGCCATCAGCATTTTGTTCAATGTTGGCGAAGAGCAGCTTCCTGGTGTAATTGGTGCTGGTGTTTCGAGGTCTAAATAGACTGCATCATATTAACAATTGGGGCGGGATTTTCTACGTATACTTAAGGGCTGCTGTCCTACATCCCGAGGGAAGGAAATGTAACATAGGCTGTACTCGATACATGGAGTTGAAATCGCAATTAGCGTCCAACTGATTCTCGTTTGTTTGTTCGTCGAGAGCCATAATAGGCTCGGATGTGCCGCAAATCAATGATGATTATGGTGTTTACGTTGCCCTGCGTTTTAAGCTGACCCGCCTGTATCGTTGACACATGAAGCCTATATCTTCAGGCCATGAGGAAACCGCGTGCGGCGTTTTTGTTATTCTCCGTAATTATCCGCCGTGGCCAATCACATGCGCCAGTCTAGCTTAAGAACCCAGGGACGGACTTTTCCGCCGACTGCCGGGTCATCCTACCACCTCCAATTCTCATATCACATCGCTTTTGTTCTCTTTCCAAGCGAAAAGCCCGCCGGGGTTGACTTATTTTAGCCGAAAAGGCTGAAGAAAACCGTCCTACGTACCACATCAGTGGGCTAAGACGGCGTTTGTCTGGTCATGTGATGCCACTGGCAAACATGGCGAACCAAGACGGTGATAGTAAGCCTGACGACAACAAGCTCCCAACGGCGAAATGGGGAGCGGCGTGCTCGGCGTGCGCAACGGCCAAAGCAAAATGCATCAGATCAAACCCAGATCCGAGCGCAAAGTGCGACAGGTAAGTGGTTTTGATAGGGCTGGAAATTGCCCGACCGAATTGATTGTCATCAGTTCCGAAAGGTCCGCCCTTTTTGTTATGTGTGGGTATGTCGGCTGATAGCACATGTTTTTTGATGCAGGTGTCAGAGACTCTTGAAGGAATGTACGGGACAAGTTCATCGACCACGCAAAAAACGTCAAGCAAAGCCATCGTGAGTAACTTATTGCCCTTGCAATGCGATTCCAATTCTTATTGAACGCCGCATGCCGATTTCCTAGCCAACCTCGGCTCATCTTGGGAGCATGTAAGTGAAATGACGCCTTCACAATGTACTAACTACCGCACAACAGTCGAACCGCCCAGATTGAAGAGAGACTCAATGGCTTGGTCAACCTTCTTCAAGCCTCGGGTGAGTTGAACAGTAATCAATCTGCGCTAGGTGCTCTTAGCGATGTGGCTGCCAGAGAGCACTCCGCCATAACGCATGATACGCCGTCAACAAACTCTACGACATCATACCTGCCATATTCAAGCTCCTGGAGGATTCCAGAGACCTACAACTGTTATGCAATTCCAGCATGTATTTGCCGCCCCGAACCCGGCGATGCGCCCCGTGATGCACCTCCCCCGCCAGATTCTGACGATGTGCTTTTGGAGCTCTACCGAGCTCAGATGCAGCCTGTTTTCCCCTTTGTGGTTATTCCACCATCGGTTTCTGCATCTGAACTACGTTCTAACCGACCATTCTTGATGTCGGCAATCAGAATGGTCACATCATTTCGTAGTCTGAGGTCAATGAGGGCTCAGATGTACCGCCTGATGAGCCATATTGCCGATTATGTTCTCATCCGCTCAGCTAGGTCATTGGAGTTGTTGCAAGGCGTGATGCTCATGATCTCATGGCACCAGTATCACTGCCTAATGCATGGTCAGATGAACAATCTGATTGCCTTGGCAATGAGCCTTGTTGCTGACCTAGGTCTGAACTGGGCACCTGGATTACGAGAGCAGACAAGACTGATGGTAGCAAGACCTGATGAACCTCCTGGGCGAACAAATGAAGAAAGAAGGGCTCTTCTCGGAGTCTGGTTTTTGACGTGCAAGTAAGTCTAATGCGCCGGTTACAGTTTTTAAAGCCTATTCTAACATGGCCTAGCATCTCAGTCAGTTTCAACAGAGTTGAATCTTTGAAATACACGGCGTACATTCAGGATTGTATGACAGTGCTTGAGAATTCGAGAGAATATGAGTCCGACATGACTCTTCTTTACCTAGTCAGAGTGCAGCGATTGACAGAACGCATTTTCGAACTCAGTTCTAAGGATAAGGCTGTAGAGGATATTCCTGGGCTTCCGTCTGCGCCCATGTCGGCTTACATTGCTGCGTTTCAAAATGAAATCGAGACAATGCGCAATACTATGCCTCCAAAACTGCAAAATGACGGTATGCTGATCTCTGCTCTTTCGCAGAAGTCGTTGCAAAATGAATATACTAACAGCTTACAGGCGTCTTCTTGTCGTACCTTAACACGGCAATGCTTAGACTCTATGAGCCTCCTGCAGTCGACTTGGCATTTGTCAACGCTCTCTCGCAGTCCCTCACAGCCGGACCCCTTGGTCGAGGCACTCCGCTCGATAAGCTTTATCAGTCTAGTGCAGCGCTCCGAAACTGGTTTGATAGCTGGCTTTCGGTGCCTGCTTCTTCTTACTTCAGGCACACTACCACTATCATGTCGCAATTGGTATACGCCATCACGATGATGGGGCGGTGGGCGCAGCTGGCAACGCCCAGGACGGTATACGAAGGAGGCACACCAATGCCTCTTGGGGAGGGCAGCTCAGCGTACGATCCAGATTCGCAAATGGCTACTAATGGGTTATCCGGATCCAAACCATTCCAGGGGTACACTCAGAGCGACCAGAAACCACGGTGTGGCGAGTCTGTGGATCAAGATCTCATCGCAGCTCTTGCTGGTTTGCAAACCCAGCTCCAGTCGCAGCCAGGACTGACGATAAACATTCCAGAAATACTTTCCTCGATGTGTTCTAAATGTGAGCAAGTCAACAATATCTTCCAACAAACAGCACCAGAGGAAGAAAAGATGGACAACAACGTGTGGACCTTTAGCGCTCTTAAAGTCCGCATCACGCGTGTCAAACTCGAACGCTGGGCAGAGCTCGTAGCTGCTGCAACTGAAAGCCATGATCGGTTAAGCAAGGCTGAACATCCTCAAGAATGGCGAGGATCATATCCCCAAACGTCGTCTGCGAACATGGGTCCGCCTCCCAACGGTATGGCCAATAACGGGTTTGCGCAGGATCAAACTCGGATTCAAAATTTCCTGGATAGCACTCCTTGGACTTCGGATCTTTTAGATGGAATCGACCCTACTGTTTGGTTTGACGGATATTTGGATTGGGGAACTCTAGTCATGAATTCTATGGGACAGGGGCCAGTAGGACAACAGCCTCAGATATGAAATAATATTACTGGAGATGATATGAGTGGCGTTTCGGAAATGGGATTGGACTTGTCCTAGGATGTATAGGCGATCTGTATCTGGAAGAAATACTCCTATTAATAATGACATTTTCGCTGTTTAATCAACTTCGATGACTGCCTGTAGATATGCCTCAGTTCCCAGCCCAGTTAAGGACGCACTTGGTGGGGCAACTGAACCTCCAATCTACTCCAACGCAAAACACTCCCCCTCCGTCAGTATTTCTTGGTATTGACCACCTAGGCTCCTTTCATCCTTGCTTTCAGCCATAAGTTTCATTTTACACACACTGAAAGTTGCGCCTGATACCTCTAACACGCTGCCCTCGAATAATCCCAATGTCGGCAGTCACCCAAGCCCAAGATGCCCCGCCATGGTGGTCATCATTCCCCGAGCCGAAAGCTCCTGTTCACGCCCTCGAGCCAGAAGACGTCGCACAGCTCCTGGAGAGCCATGCCTCCGCCGGGCCAAATAGCGCAAAGAGTTTTCTCCTCGTGGATGTTCGTCGAACGGACTGGGAGGGCGGCACAGTTGCCACATCTCTCAACCTCCCAGCTCACACGTTATACCAAACTCGGCCCGTGATTTATCAACTGTGTAAACAAGCCAATGTCAAAACTATCATCTTCTACTGCGGTGAGCTGCTTCGCTTGATCACATGGTCTACGAAACCTCCAGTGAGACTGACCCCTCCCAAACAGGAAGTTCGAACGGCCGGGGCCCTAGATGTGCCGGCTGGATGCAGGATTATCTCAACGAAATGGGCGAAGCAAGCATGTCTGCTGCCATTCTCAAGGGCGGCATCAAAGGCTGGCAGAAGAAGTATAGCGGTAAGATGATGGACTGGTACGATGAGAAGTTTTGGACTCAGCAGCAAAGTGCATAGGGCTTCTCCTTTTGTCATTTGTCTATGATAAAGAGCCAGAGCGAAAATTTATTCCTGCGCAAAACCTCCCAATTTTACGTCATCAATATCATCCGAGAACGCCAAACAGTTTTTTCATAGTCAACTTGCATCTTTGCATCTGGTATTGAATTATCGATGATGATGTTGTCGGTCGTCGCCGCCGATTCTGTCTAGGGCCTCCATCATGACAACTGAGTTTCCTCGAATAACCTGATCATCAAGTCAGTTTTACATCCTATGGACAGGGAGTTGCTTGTGATGTCAACGTACAACCATGCCTAGCTTGACTTTATCTCCACCTTCTTTCTCTTCCACCGCTTCGTCGAGGACAATGTTCAAGAACACCTTCGGCGTGATTAGCATGATCCAATTGGGGCGCGTGACGAAGGTTTCAAGGGAATAGTACATCGTATCCGCGCAAAACTCCGATAACCTTGCGACTACCGTTCAGCTGCACGAATAGTCTCTTCTCGAGATACTGGGAATATATTAGCTTGGATTCGGTCTTGTGTGCAGACTCCCTTGTCGGAGAAGCAACCTTTCTTTGACCAAAGCATAAAATACGACAGTCCTGCGGCAAATTCATTCACATACCTTTTTGAGCTCAGGTTGCGCGGGCGCCATCTTGAGCTATTCAATAATCTGGGCATAAGATGCTGTTGAAAGCTCTTTGATGCGTCGCGATTACCCACTACTAGAACACGGGCATAGTATTTGTCACGTGATGATAAGATAGCTGTTGCCTGCGTCATGGGCTTTTGATCTTTGCGACAACGTGATCCGATTTCTGGACACAATGACCAGCTAAAAATGATTGCAGGATGAGTTCCTTTGCGGCCAAGCGCAAAGCTAGAGTGATCAAGGTCGATGATGAGGAGGGATCAGACGGCAGCTCGTCGTCAGGCTTGGACGCCGCTGGCTCCAAAGAAGGTGAGGGACCCTCTCCCATCGTGCGATTCTTTTTTTTCTGATGATATCTCAAGGCTAATTATGTATGGACAGAAGTATATAAACCTCTATTTGGCTCGAAATCCGGGCGCAAACCTTTTAGACAGTCAGGGCTGCGAAAAACTTTCAATCTAGGAGAAGGAGAGACCTCAGGCGCACCTGGAAGCACAGCCAACGAAGATGCAGAGGACGATGGGCCAGTCGTCGTACGGCCAAATCGACCCGGCGCCGGAAAACAAAAGAAGAAGGGTCCCAAGACTAGATTGTCCTTTGGCGGTGGTCCCGAAAATGACGACTCTGAAGATTTGGCTATACCAAAGCAAGTGTCGCTCGGACAGAGAGCGCTTGAGAACAGCGCCGTGAAACGTGGTATTGCTGTACGAACACTCCCAACGAGATCTACGCAGGAGGAAGAAGAGGACCGGCCAAGATACAGCAAGGAATATCTGGACGAGCTACAGTCTTCGACGCCGAGTACACCACAGGATATCGCTACCTTGCACATTAGCGATGCTGACGAGATGGAATTGGATCCATCGGAGCTTGACGGAGCTTTAGTGGTCGAATACCCAGGGGCTTTGTCACCGAAACAAGGCACACAGATACTTTCGGAGGCTGAGATACGCGAAAGAAAGGAACGTCGCGCCAGATTGGCTCAAGAGCAAGGCTTCTTGTCTGTTGAAGACGACGACTCGGATGCCTTTGGGCGCAAGAAGAAGGATGACGGCCGATTACTGGCAGAAGATGAAGACCTCGGAGAAGGATTCGATGATTATGTCGAGGACGGCGGTCTCTCGCTAGGCAAGCGTGCCGAAAAGGAACGTAGAAGAAAAGAGAGGAAGCAAATGGCAGAATTGATCACAGCTGCTGAAGGTCACAGCTCAGACGATTCCTCAGACAGCGACGCCGAAAGGAGAATGGCGTATGAGGCATCACAAAGCAAGGCAGGACTTGATGGCTTGAAAAAGCCAAGAAAAAATCCAGCCGAAGATTTGCTCCAAATTCCCCCAAAGATTACACCACTGCCAAGCTTGTCAGAGTGCCTGACACGGCTTCAAGCTACACTCAGGGCAATGGAAAATGATCTTAAGGCGAAAAATGCTCATTTGGATCAACTTAGGAAGGAGAGGGAGGATATCGTCAAGCGGGAAACAGAGGTACAGGCGCTGCTGGACGAAACCGGGAAAAAATATCAAGAAGCCATGGCACAAGGGAAAGTAGATCCCGATACCGCCAGTACTACAGGGCCAAATATTGAATTGGTTGGTGAACGAGGCTTGGATAGTCTTGGAACCACGCCTAGACGGCCGGATCAATCTGAACTGGATGCAGGATTATGATAATTAATTTCCTCATAATTAATAGACTATACCCCTGGTGCAAGCCGCCTCTTCAGTTCATCTTACAAACTCTTCTTGTCCTCTTTCAGTCCGCTAAACTCCAACCCCTTGTTAATATCTCCAAACAAGACGCTCCACATGTCACGAACCCAGTGCGTACGTCCATACCACGGGTCCTCCCCCGTAACCTTGGGAATTCTGTCAGCCGCCTTGACAAAGTAATTGCTGTTCAAATCAACCGCCAGTTTTCTCGGCATGTCTTTCCTGTGCTCCAGTACGGGCATGGCCTTGGTAGCCTGTTTGTCTTCCATGCTCTTGATAACACGCACAAGCAGCTTGGCAATTGCCTCGGCCCCGGGTGTCCACGACTGCAACACATAACCCAAAACGTAGCCCATGTTGGGGAGAGACTCGAGCATGGTGCCTCGCCAGGTGTAACGCGAACCGGGGACGATCCGGACCCCATTAACATTGGCAGCTATACCACTCATGATTTGGAAATAAAGCCCTGTCGCGGTGATAATTATGTCGGCGTCGAGTTTGCGACCCGACTGCAGCAGGATGCTATCGGGCGTGACCCTGTCAATGACGTCTGTAACAAGCTCGACATTACCGCGGTGCAAGGCTTGGAAGAAATCGCCAACCGGGCAGAGACACAACCGCTGCTGGAGGGGGTCATACCGCGGCTTGAAGTGAATGTCGACGTCACAGTCCTTGGGCAGTGCGCCCTTTGTGTTGAGCCGTAGGGCGAACCTTGCAACACTGGGGAAATGCACCATGAACTGCGTTATGAACATCTCGTAGGCGATGTCCTTCCACCAGCAGATCTTGTGCGCAAGGCTGATGGGCAGAATGGTCCGCAGCAGCGTGTCCAGCCACGACGTCGTCGGGATCGCGGCCGCGTAGCTGGGACTCCTCTGGACCATGGTCAGCTGCGCGACCCGATCAGCCAGCGCCGGCACAATGGTATACGCCGTTGCGCCGGAGCCGATGAGCACGACACGCTTGTTGGAACAGTCCAAATCCTCCGGCCACCACTGGGGGTGCGCCACGGTGCCTGCGAAGCTCTCGATGCCAGGGATCACGGCCGGCATGGCCTGGTCATAGGCATAGTACCCCGTGCACCCAATGACGAAGTTTGCCGCCAGAACCTTGGTCTCTCCGGCATGCTCGACGGTCAATCGCCAAAAGCCGTCCTCGTCGCGCCATTCCGCGTCGACGACTTGGTGGTTGAACCGGATCTGGTCATATGTGCCGTCTTGTTTGGCGGCGTCCTCGATGTAGGCGACGATTTCTGCGGACGACGCAATCTTGTGCGCGTGCGGCCAGGGGTGCCACCTGAATCCAAAGGTGGTCATGTACGAATCCGACCTGAAGCCGGGGAACTTGAAGAAGCTCCATGTGCCGCCTATGACGGAGCGGCCCTCGAGAATGGCGAAGCGACGATGGGGCAGTTGTTCGCGGAGGACGTGGGCAGTGTTTATGCCAGAGAGGCCGGCCCCCAAGATGATGATGTCGTGGCGTTCTGCTATTTCTGGCATCTTTGCTAGCGGTAACAACGCCCTGGGGGAGGGGGAGGGGATAAAAAGTCAAATATCAAAGGCAGGTGGTTAATATGGACGGTATAAAGGGATGCCACCCTCGTGCTGCTGTTGCGTTTTATGGTTGAAAGTTGAAACTCAACTACTCCGGATCGGGACGTTCAACGTCCGTAATAGATCCGTAGCTATCCATCGGTCAAGTTGCTGCCAATATATTGCACAAGTTGCAATTGGCTCCAGGGCTAGAAAGTATTTCGGCGGTTGTAGTTGTATTTGTGTCAACATGCCCCCGTGCGAGTCGGGACTCCAAATTCGTGGTTGCCAGTTGAGGATTTTTAGTATTATTCCGTCCCCGTTTATAGAGGACAATTTAGGTGGCGGGGAAATCGATCATCCGTGTAGAGTTGAGGACACGGCTGACAATGGCAAAATGTTATTTGATATAAATTTGCGGGTTAGGGTGATGAGAATATTGCGCGGATTGTACTCTCGTTTGGTATTCGAGGCCACAGTCCAGTCAGGTGCTTTTTGCTGCATTTTCAATCTTGTCGGGAGAGCTAGCCAGCTAGGCATTCATTTTGCGGGGTTTGAGGTCAGCTGGTGATTTTAGTTCGGATATTGCCGAGCAGATGATGACATGCAGGTGCGTCAGAACTCGGAAACTTTACTAGGTTTAATGTTGTTGCAGCTTCTTTTGCTACCCAATGATGGAAGCTGTTACAGTAACCCTGGCGTATCTCTCTTCGCCATGCCTCCTCCACACGTGTACTGGCAGTGCTGGGTGCAATACGGATCTACAGAGCATGAAGCACATGTTTGCATTTCGCTCGGCACGCTACGCTTAGGTTTCATTCTAACTACCTCGTGGGCAAATTTTTCTTTGATGAATTGATAAATATCATCCATTTGATCCGGCACTTTGAACCAATGACCCTCTTCCTCAGCGTCAGAGTGCTCCTTCCACTCGACTGTAGAACCAGCCTTTGAAAGCACATCCTTAGCTTGCCGTCCAAGGGTAATGTCAACGTATGCGTCATCATCACCATGTCCCAGGAGGATGCTCATGGCTGAGGCTTTGCCTTGTGGCTGTCTGCCAAGTGCAATCATGTCCCTAACAAAGGCGTCAGATTCGTCTTCTACCGGTATTGGCTCTGTGCTCGTATCAGCCGTAGCGTGTAATAAGCCAAGTGCTCGTTCTATATTCGCAGCAAACGGAAGCCAGGTGCTGGAGCCAAAAAATGCCCCAATTCCACGTGCTCGCAACCTCTTCATCTACAAGGACCCGAATATGTCTCACTGATGCTGCAATGCCGTTAATCTGTAGATCTTGTCGGGCAGTGGTGTCAGTCAACGACCGAGCCTCGGTCCAAGCCGGTATTGATTCTTGAAAGGTCATGCTCCAGAGAGACGGGGATGAAGGAAACACCCAGCGCCATCCGGGCAGCGCTGAGGCTAGGGATTCGTGCCAGATGGTGGGGATGAGAAGAATCATCGGCAAACTCTTGACCATTGCTGCCTCGTCCGTGGAGGACTATGGCCGTTTGAGTGTGTCTGAATTGAGGGTTGATGATATGAACAGGTCCAGATTCCGGGTTGGCGATTGTATCATCTTTGCTCATCTTATGGTCCTGTTTGTAATATTGAAAGGTAAACACACGCTGATGTTCCCAGCGTATCGTTGCGCCATCTGGACCATTGATGAATTTGATGTTGGTAGCACCAGCTGACCAGCTGACCCCAGGTGCTCTGTCTCTGCTGCCCCACACCAGCTATGAATTGATGGCCAATGGGGCCGTTAGGCTACGGCCCGCCATCGAAACAGCTAGAAGGCTGCGAAGGCTGGGCTGTTGGACGTGGGCTGAGCTCTTCCATGATTTTCTATAGACTAGTTCCCCACAGCGGCGCCTACAACCTCAATTGTCAACTCTGTTCTTTAAGCAAACACTATTCCCAGATCTGGGCAGAATTATTGTCTCTTCAAAAACCAGAATCCCTTCTCCAACGAAGTGACGATTTCCCAACACATCATACTATGGCTTCCGCAGACGAGCTCAAAGCTCTTGGCAACAAGGCCATTGCCGAAAAGAACTTTGATGACGCTATGTATGTCCTAACCATAGCCCCTAATATCTCTCTATTTCTGTACGGTAAAGATTTGTCGGCAATTTAAGCTAACCTGTTTTGTGCTACTGCAGAGAGAAGTTCACCCAGGCTATTGCCCTCCAACCTGAGAACCACATCCTGTACAGCAACCGATCTGCTGCCTACGCATCCAAAAAGGACTGGGACAATGCTTTGGCTGATGCCGAGAAAACCACCCAGATTAAGCCTGATTGGGCCAAGGGCTGGGGCCGAAAGGGTGCTGCTCTTCATGGAAAGGGCGACTTGCTCGGCGCCAACGATGCCTATAGCGAGGGTCTGAAACTAGATGCCAACAATGCTCAGCTGAAGAGTGGTTTAGCTTCTGTCGAGAAGGCTATGCAAAATGAAGCAGGTATGTTAATAAATAAATGCACACATATACCTTTGTCCCCGGGAATACAGCTGACTTGATGTTTATCAGGCGGAGCCGGTGGTTTTGGAGCAGACCCTACTGGAGGCCTCGGACAGATGTTCAAAGACCCAAATCTGATCCAGAAGCTTGCCAAAAACCCCAAGACCAGTGGATTTCTAGCAGATCCCTCCTTTATGGCCAAGTTGCAGCAGATGCAGCAGAACCCTGGAAATCCTCAGGATCTTTTCAGTGACCCCAGAATGATCCAGGTTCTCGGTGTCTTGATGGGAGTCGATATGGACGTGCGTGATACGGATCCCCGCGGTGACACGAACATGCCCGATGCTCCCGAGCCCAAGAAGCCTGAGCCCGCCAAAGCCCCCGAACCTGAACCCGAGCCCGAGGAACTCGATGAGGAGGCACTAGAGAAGAAGAAGAAAAAGGAGGAGGCCGACAAGGAAAAGCTTCTAGGCACCGAGAACTACAAGAAGCGCAAGTTTGATGAAGCCATTGAGCACTACTCTAAAGCTTGGGACATCTTCCATGATATCACCTACCTCAACAACTTGGGGGCTGCCTACTTCGAAAAGGGTGACTACGACAAGTGCATTGAAACCTGCACCAAGGCTGTTGAGGAGGGTCGCGCCGTCTACGCCGAATACAAACTTATTGCGAAGAGCTACGCCCGTATCGGTTCTGCTTACGAGAAGAAGGGCGACATGGCCCGAGCTGTGGAGAATTACAGCAAATCCTTGACTGAGCACCGAACACCTGATGTTTTGAACAAGCTGCGGGCTGCGGAGAGAGCGAAGGTTGAGGCTGAAAAGAATGCGTATATCGACCCCGTCAAAGCTGAGGAGGCTCGTGAAGAGGGCAACAAGAAGTTCAAAGAGAACGACTTCCCTGGGGCTGTCCAAGCGTACTCAGAGATGATCAAGCGTGCCCCCCATGATGCTCGGGGCTACAGCAACCGTGCTGCGGCCTTTATCAAGTTGTTCGAGTTTCCTAGTGCCGTGGATGACTGCAACATGGCCATCAAGAAGGACCCCAAGTTCATCCGAGCATACATTCGCAAGGCTCAGGCTTTCTTCGGCATGCGCAAGTACTCAGACTGCGTGGATGCCTGCACTGATGCCACTCAGGTCGACCAGGAGTTCCACAATAATGCCAACGCTCGTGAAATCGAGCAACAGCAGCAGAAGGCACTGAACGCCATGTACTCTGCACGTGATAACGAGACTGAGGAGCAGACTCGGGAGAGATTGATGAAGGACCCAGATGTAAGTTTATCCACCTAGCCTCGACTCCTTGATATTTCCCTGTGATTTCCCTGGCCATGCTGACATTTCGGACTTAGATCATGAGCATCATGCAAGATCCTGTCATGCAGTCCATCCTGCAGCAGGCCCAGTCCAACCCCATGGCACTTCAGGAACACATGAAGAACCCGGGTGTCCGATCAAAGATCCAGAAGCTCATGGCTGCTGGTGTTATTCGAGTTGGCCGATAAATTGGAGTGTTGTGGGGAGTTTTGTAAAGATACCATGTGTCGGAAAGCTTTATGAAGTTAATGATAAAAAGTTTACTCATGTTCACCTCGGATTCGCCAATGTCCCCGTGTCATGTCAAAATTGTTTGATTGACTATTTTGGGACACTGAAAACGATGGCCCGATTTTATCGCATGTGAGCACGCCGTCCAAGGCCTCGGCCTTTCAGCCTTTTAGCTTTTACCGCCCCGTGGAGTTGTTTTAGGCCGACTGACAGCAAATTTTTGCCATTGATGGCAGGTATGGTAAAAGTACCCGGTAACCATGTGTATAATTAACGGCCAAGGCAGTTTTAATGTGAGACGGCACGAGTTCTGGCATAAATGACTAGCATTGATCAGTGTGTGGACTGTGGCACGGTTTTGACACCAAGCTTGAGCAGTTCGGTCCAACAAGGTGAACAAGAACGAACCAGACCCCGGGAAACTTGCTCAGTCAATGCGAGAGCAAGGGGCGGGGCTGTTCAAATGTTGGCAGTGCAGTTAGTACCTGAGGCACCAGAGGGGGGCGCTGGGGCCCGAACGATTTCAATGCTACGCGCTCTACGGAGCAGCCCCACACTAAAGCACTGCACATGTGCCCTCGCAACAATAGGCCAAACCAGTTGGCCCCCTGCACTTAAGTTTGCAATGGGGATTCAAGTACGGAGGTACGCAGAAGTACCAGACGCTGACGTTACAATGTATAGTCCACCTGGCCTCCCAAGTTGAGCTTTCTCATCCTTTGTCGGATTTTCGTTCCCTCGGTACGCCATGAGACGAGCTGCAGTTGCTCAACGGAGTAGTTAGTCTGGCGACCGACCATATTGGCATCGACACAATGGCTGGTGAGCTCAAGATGCAACCATTGTCGGGTTCCAAACCCAAGACTAACAATGTTCCCTCTCCAGATCCGCAATGGTCAACGATTTCCACAAGGCTACTACTCGCAGAGCTCCAACGACGCAAGGAAGACGGCGAGAGACCAGCTTGCGGCAGTAAGGAAACTGGGTGGTATGATACTGTGGCGCACATCTTTGCGTTGCTATTAATCTTGACCCTGAGCACACTAGGTATGAGTCCGGGTTTACATTCGTCCAAGCTTGGAGTTTCGGTGACTGACCTGACGGTGCCAAAGCTTGCGGGCTTCCATTAATATCACGACGCGCGACGACCGGGAAACGACAGAAAACCATCATCTTCTACTGCCAACATGTAGGGACTGGAGTGCTGCTTGCTACGGCATTCGTGCACCTGCTCCCAATGGCATTCGAATCCCTAACCGACCCGTGCTTGCCCTATTTCTTCAGCCAAGGGTATACGCCACTTCCTGGCTTCGTGGCCATGGTGTCTGCTATTATGGTTGTCGGCGTCGAATCCTACTTGACAGCACGTGGTGCCGGCCATTCGCACTCCCACGTGCACAACTATTTCGACAGCGACGAAAGCGACGGTGGCGGCGAGTTTCAGGATGTACCGCTTCATGATCACCCTGGCATGTCTGGGGGACGGACGAGAAATCACAGACCGCAGGATGTTTCAGTGGGTGACGACGCCGAGGCCACGCAGGGTCTTGTGGCCGGGGTGTCGCCGGTCCCCGAATCCACGCCTACCACAACCACACACCGACGCGCATCCGCAGAAAACGAGTTCAATGAAGGCGATTCTGATTTGGAACTTGACATGGATGAACTGGACCCTGCTCCTGTCAATGACAATCGCAATGGCGCATATGCCTCCTTAACAAAGCCTGGGGCTCGGACGGACCCATCGGAGCCGACTCTACACCCGAAGTCACCGGAGGAGACTAGACGACAGCTTCTGCAGTGTCTTCTACTTGAAGCTGGTATTCTATTCCACAGCGTTTTTATTGGAATGGCTATTTCTGTAGCCACCGGACCAGCATTTGTCGTCTTCTTAATTGCCATCAGCTTCCACCAGTCTTTTGAGGGTCTTGCTCTAGGCAGCCGCATTGCCGCTATATCGTTTCCCAAAAACTCGATCCGGCCGTGGCTCATGGTTCTAGCTTATGGCTTCACAACGCCCCTTGGTCAGGCCATTGGTCTGATTGTCCACAAGATGTATGACCCTGCGTCCATGGGCGGCCTTTTGGTGGTGGGATTTATGAATGCTATCTCGTCAGGTCTCTTGTTATATGCGGGCCTGGTACAGCTCCTGGCAGAGGATTTCTTGACAGAGAAAAGCTATCGCGTCCTCAAGGGCAAGAAGCGCCTTCAGGCGTATCTAGCTGTGGTTGCTGGTTCTCTGCTGATGGCCATTGTGGGTGCATTTGCATAGTTGGTGCCAAGCTAGAGAGAGACATTTATCAAGTGGATTGTTCATCATGATAGAAAAAGCATTTGCATTCGTATTTTTTTTGGCCCTAGCTAGGGTTTATCCAGATTAGCGACGGGGTCTGATGTAGTTTACAAAAGTGTCGTAGATACATGCTCACACGGCAGATATAACGCTATGGAACGCCATAATGCATTTAGTTTATGTCGTTTACTTGGTCGAACAAATCTTCTAATTAGACTATTTGTATTTATTCGTAGGCATGTGAACAAGACCCGAGCCGGGCTGACTGTGTTAGCAAAGTGCATCATTTTGACACCCGCTGTAACTGGGAATATACAATGCACCGCGTATAGAGTCGCTATTGGCACAATTTATCAGCACCAGTCATTGCATCGCTATAAACCCCGGTCTAATCGGCCTTTTTAGTGTTTAAACTTCAACCGTAGTAACGGACAGCGGCTCAACCCCAGACTGATCAACCCACCACCGAACCACGGAATCCCCCGGATCCGGGCCAAGCGCCAATCACAAGTCCCCTATTAGCTAAACATCGGTCGACTCTCGTACACAACCCCAGGATGAAGTTCTTCTCACATGCTTCCCCCATCTTCATCCTCACTCTCGCAATTTTCAAATTCACAAGAAGGGAATCAAAAGTGCTCCTCTTTTTAAAACTCCTCCTGCATTCTCAGGGCCCCAAGACCGCCGTGACTGAGTGTGGAGTGTGGAAGTGTGTTTCTGTTGCGTTTGCCCAGATGTGGTCGGCCGGGTTCATAGCAATCGTATTCTACGTCTTTCTCGGGGCGAACCTGTTTTCTCGCCGGTCGCCATTTTTTCATGACCGCGGAGCGCCGCCGGCCGGCGAGTGGGCGGATGGACCACTGAAGCTGGTCGATACTCCGTGGACGTTGCATCAAAAGGTTTGTTTCCGCGCCCCTTCAAGTTGAGAGTGAGACCCCGGGGGGAGTGTGACTGACAGAAGACTGAACGCGACCGTTTGGCTAGGACGACCTCTTCACCACGGCGGCCACGCACATGGCGCTCTTGCACAACGCCATCATCCGCGGCTACAACTCCATCTACCTGCAGGCGCCGCACGTCCGGGGCGGCGACGTGCCCGACTTTGCGGCGTACGCCCTGACGTGGCACAAGTTCCTGGTGTCGCACCACGACGACGAGGAGGACAGGCTGTTCCCGGACATGGTCGGCATACTCAGGGACGACGGGATCTGGGGCAACATGACGCAGGAGCACGGTACTCACGAGAGGCGCAATGTTTTGTCAACACGCAAAGACACAATACTGACACACTGGTTTTTTTTATAGAATCCTTCCTACCGGGGCTCGCTGCCTTCCAGGCACTTCTCAACGGCACCAACGCGACGGCGTATAGCCCCGGGGCCCTCCTCGGGGTGATGGACTCGTTTGCGGCGGACCTCTCGGCACACCTGCACAACGAGGTGGCCGTCATGGCGGGGATGGCGGCGCACGAGAACGCGCCGGCGCGGGAGTCGCTCCGGGGCGCGCTGGCGGGCGACATGCTCAAGGCGTGGGGGAAGAAGACCGTCACAAGGGCCGGGTACGTCGACGTGCTGCCGTTCTTCCTGCTCAACACGGACCGGACGTTTGAGGGCGGCGTGTGGAGGAACTGGCCGCGCATGCCCGAGGCCGTTCGGTGGAGTATGGTGAATCTGGTGGGGATGAGGCACGGCCCGCGGTGGAGGTTTTCGAGCTGCGATGCTGCCGGCCGGCCGAGGGAGTTGTTTGCTTTGAGGGCGTTGAGAGAGGAGAAGGAGAAGGAGAGGTCTGAGTTGTAGGGTGGTGAGGTTTTGTTTGCTTTGGCTTGGACACGGTCATGTTAGAAGGACATGCAACCGATGAGTAGTGGGGTAGTGGAATGATGGAGGAACCTAGTCACAAATGATGTTGAATACTGGTTAAGAATAAGAGTCGTGCAATGCATCGTTGACTTGGAGAAAAATACAGATAGCACGCACGATTGAGAGCAATGATAGATAAATATCAACGGTGGTGTTCAAGGTGAAGTGGCTGATTTGAATCGGGTATCTAATTAAAAGTCGTCCTAAAAAACCCCCATGACTGTTTATATGTCTATACATGTCTCCAACACAGTTTCACCATTTACAGTTACCCAACGCAGACTCTCACATAATTTGAAACATTACTCCATCTGGAAACTGCTCTCTCCCCGATCGCAAGCTTCCAGTGCATGAGCCAACGCCTTCTTTGCCCTCTCCTCCCGCTTGATGAAGGGTCGGTTGAACATGTCGTGAAGGGGACGAGCGCTATTGGCGTGATCCGGGTCAAATGTCACTTGCGCATCGTCGCCGCATTTGCTTCGGGTCGTCAGGATAGCAAGGCGCAGCATGTCCCCTCCAATGCCCTTGTTGCGATATCTGTACTTGGTGGTCCAGGCACGGATAACTCCGCTACCACCCTTGACCGAGGATGATGCCGTCTTCCTGATCGATCCAGACGGCGCCACCAGTCGCAGGACGGTAGTCGCAATGAGTTCGTCTCCATACCGGGCAGCAAGAACGTAGTCCTCCTTGCCTCCAGGACTGGCGATCCATTCTTTCCACTTCAAGCTCTCGGCGAGTCGAATATAATTTGCCGTCAGGAGCCGTACGCCCGCCAGGTAGGCAATTACAAGCCCGCAAACCATGACGAGCGCAGTGCCAAAGTCGCGGTGCGCATTTTGCCGGTAAATGGCGGTGCAAGCTGCAACCAAGCCCACGAAACATGCGGGATGAACGATGACGGAGAAGGAAGCAGTTTGTCGCTGCTGTGCTATGCTGTCGGCAACTAGTCTCATCGCATCTTGTTTCTCGACCTCCTTGGTGACGACACTAAAGGTCAACGAAGGAAGGTCGTCGTGATTGCTGGCGTCATTGACTGTAATTGATGGTTTCGCGGGCGTTTGAACCGCCATGGTGGAGGACATCTTGATTGACACCAAATTAAGATGTTAGATAAGAACCACACAGACAGCAAGACACACACCAGTGGACATTACGTCCGGATGGACGAATAGGTGGACTGTGATAAACACTGTGCTGTTAAAAAAAAAATCTACAAAAAAAATCAAACTGACTTCTCGGATAAATCGGCTTCCCATGTAATGGAATGTGAGGCTACTGCAGGAAATATATCGCGTGGGAGCTTACCAGCTAAGGACCCTGAGAGTGGGAGGCCGATGCACGTGGGCGGGAAGACAGGGTAACAGTCGCTCAAAAGCAACAGAAGCAGTGGAGAGGATGTGTAGTGGCGTACTCCGTAATAGATGGGTGTTGGTAGCCGGGTGACAATGGAGACAGTTCATCAGCTCTGCGACCGAGACCGGGATGGATGGGAATAACGACCAGATGATGGCAATGGGGCTGCCGTGACTGGTTTCTAGAGGACTGAGCATGTGTCTGCGGGCTTGCGGCGAGAGACGCAGAAGGCGGAAGATCGGGGGTGCGTTCTGGATTCGTTGAAAACCCATCTTGGTGTTTAGCGCCAGACCCCACACGTGCGGCCAGGTTGAAGCCACAAGGTACTTCCGCGCTTCCGCACAACAGTACATCCCTTTGAATGTGCGCAGGTTCAATTGCTGTATTTGGCCCACTCCTTTTTCAGTACTTCATAGTACTTTTATATCAGCAATAATAGCTAGATGTATTTATAGCTTTTTATATCTTAGGTAGTAATAGGTACTTATAATATCATATAATTTCTTAATAAATTTATGTGTCTTTTAAATAAGCATTTTTTTATTGGCAAGAAACCTGGTCCGGTACAGCATACATGAGTGGAAGGAGGCTCCACCTGCACCTTCTGTGGCCGCCACCCTAACTGCGAACGAAAAACAGCAAGCGCGACCGGCTGGCCGAAGCTAGTGGACTAGACTAGCGGGGCCAAGGTAAGCACAGAAATAGACTTGTTGGTTTTGTTGCAGTTAATCAGATTAAGAATTCTACTAGCCATCCAGCGTCTCGTCTCGTCGTCTCGTCATCTCGCCGTCTCTGCTTTGATGGCGCAAACATCCCTCCCAGTAGCCAGGCTGAGACTTGATGTATTCCTGTTTCCCGTGTCTCAACCTTGACCGGGCTATAGAAACATGTCGCACTGCCTGGTTATATTTTGCGAAACAATCAACTTGGACATCAGGCTCTTTCTCGCCCAACGCAGCCATTGGCGACAGACCGTCGTCCTTCACCTTCGGTCGCCCAACTGGGTATCGTCACTCCACCTTTCCGCCTGCAACCACAAATGACATGCCAAGTGCCAAGCCGGCAACTTTTCCCATCACCCCAGCTCATCCACCATTTTCTTCATCCGTCAATTGCCCAGTCCCCAAGACACTACGCAAAAGTGACTTCAGCCCCCAGGTGCAGACGACTACGGTTGTGCCAGTACGGAGTAGGCCAAACCGATTGGGAACGCCTCCCCGTGGCCAATCGCCAAGCCATCGCCAAGTTACTTGGCGATGCGAGACAACGTGTTTCGGTCGCGCTCTCTGATTGGTCCACACCTAACGACTTCCCGTCCAAGTCGTCGATACCGAAGCACCATTTCGACTCATCACGCAGGGCCTAACCCAGGCACATCCACCCCGACCGAGCATCCTCAATGGTCGTTGGTTGATATTGAGAGGCGTCAGAGCAAGAAACGAAAGAGAAAAAGGAGTGCCAAGTGCATCATCGTCTCTGAGGCTGTTCCGCGGCGAGTCGTCAACAAGGATGCTAACATGGAACTGCAATTTTCGTCCACCGAGCCGACCCATGTGCTCTTAGCAAGTGGGTGTCCCGGTTCGAGATGAATAGTCGAAAAGTCATCTTGATTCCTCATTCAAAGTATAATGCCCCAATATAAGCTGCCCTGGTGGCTGATGGCCATCCCTTCTCTTTTTCTCCCTCTCGTCTGTCCCGTGCGGAGCCTTCAATTCTCTCCTCATCAAGAACTCATATAGCTCTATTTCGTCTTGTTTCATTACA